AGTAGGTAGTGGGCCTACAATATCCATAAACACTTTGTCGAATGGTCTTTGAGGGGTATCCGTCAAAACCATTGGCATTTTCTCTACCCTAGAGCTCTTGTTTTTCTGGCATTGTTAACATGTTCCGACGTAGTCTTTTATCTGTCTTTGCATGCCTGCCCATTTAAACTGTTTTCGTGTTCGAAAATATGTTTTAACAGCCCCTTGATGTCCTCCGATAGGTGAGTCGTGGAATTTCTTTAACACTTCTTGGACATCTTTTTTATTGGTTAGAAATACCGCGTAATCTTCTTTCGTCTGGTCCTTTGTATCTTCCACTTCTTCTATTTCATTTTGTTCCATTTTATTTTTGTTTTCCTTCAGATTTGTTGCTCTTTTATTTCCTCTCGTAACTACTGATATTGGTAGCCGACTCAGAGCATCCGCGTTTTTATTGGTTTTTCCTGGTTTGTACAAAATTTCAAAATCGTATTCCAACAATTTCAATCGGAATCTTCCCAAACGTGTGTCTTGGTCTTTAAGATTTGCTATACCTCTTAATGGCTTATGGTCAGTAAATATTTTAAAATGTCTTCCCAATAAGTAAGACCTAAAATTCCTAGTTGCCCAAACTATCGCAAGAAATTCCTTTTCTATAGTTGAATATCTTTTCTCCGTATTACTCAGAGCACGGCTTGCGAAATAAAGTGGTAAATCAGAACCTACTTCTCCCTGAAACAATACTGCACCTAATGCTTCATTACTAGCGTCGGTTGTTAAAACAAAAGGTTTTGAGAAATCTGTATATTGAAGTATAGGAGGCTTCGTTATTGCCGCCTTCAGTCTAATCATTGCTTCTTGGCAACTGTCGTTCCATTCGAACTTTTCTCCTTTCTTTAGTAATTTATTAAGTGGTAAACACACACTCGCTGCTTATGGGATAAATTTCCTATAATAATTCACAAGTCCCAAAAATGATTGCAGTTCCTTAACATTTTGAGGTGCTGGGATAGACTTAAGACACTTGGTTTTGTCTGGATCTGAAATTACTCCTTTGTCCGAACATTTATGTCCAAGGTAAGCGACTTCTCGTCTTAAAAACTGACATTTCTCCGTTTGTAATTTTAAATTATTTTCTTTTAGTGCTTGTAATACTCTCCTTAACCTTTCGTCGTGTTCGTTTAAATTCCTTCCGTAGATAACAATATCGTCGAGATAGACGAAGCAATCTATCCTTTGTAATCCTGTTAAAATACTATTCATAATTCGCTGAAAAGTTGCGGGTGCTCCTGTTAAACCAAATGGCATTCTAAGAAATTCAAAATGTCCCAGACCTGTGCTAAATGCCGTTTTCTCCCTGTCTTTACTGTCTACCATCACCTGGTGATAGCCACTAGCCAAATCCAGCGTTGAGAAATATCTACTGCATCCTAGGTGGTCTAAAATTTCATCAATTCTAGGAATTGGAAACGCGTGTTTAATTGTTTTTTCATTTATTTTTCTAAAATCAACCACGAGACGCCATTTCTTTTCCCCATCTACACCTGACCTTTTTGGTACAAGTATGATAGGAGAGTTCCATGGTGATTTACTCCTTATTATTATCCCTTCATCCAGCATTTCACTAACTTGCTTATTAATTTCTTCCTTAGGTGTTCTGGTAATCTATATTGTCGTTGATTTACCAGTATTTGATCATGACTTGTTGGAATTTCGTGTGCCAATACTGATGTGTAGGACAGTTTATCTCCTGGTAAGTGAAATACATCGTTATATTCCTTAATTGTCTGCGTAATTAACCGTCTTTCTCCATTGTTTAAACGCTCATCCAATCTTATTAATTTCAGTAATTTTCGGTACCTTTCCTGTAAGTTTACTTCTTTGTTCAAATTAACATTAGGGACATTGTACTCATAGTACTCATTCATATCACTGCCCTTTAATTCAATTTCACTATTCATTTCAACTGCATAGTTGTTTGCATTCAAAATTCTTACAAAACCTATTCCGTTTTTTACTTCTGTTAAACATTCACCTGAATAGACATTTCTAACTATTTCCTTTTTATGTATTACGAGTGTTCCTTCTTTAGTCACTACTTTTACTGGAGAATCATTGTTGATCTACCTGGGATTGTCATGCTTTCTGCTATACAAATCCGACCATGATCTACAATGCTTACCAGTGGTAAAGTAGCTAATTCCTCTTTATTCTTAAAAAATTTTAAAACCTTTTTAATTGTGTCTGTAGTAGACCGGTTCCACAGTTCATCTCGACCTAGAAGTCCGTCTGCTGGTAACTGGCTACCTATTGGCACTACATGCATTTTGAATTGTAGAGCTGGAAATTTTCGATGTTCAATATTGACTGTACCCAATGTACTTATATTGCCTCCAAAAGCTCCCGTAAGACCCTTTGTGTCTTTGGTGTTTATATCTTTTAAATTGATTAACGCCTCTGTTTTTATAAGGCTGAAGTCTGCTCCCGAGTCAACTAAAAGTCGAAGTTTATTCCCCACTGCACGTTCGCAAAGTACTTCTACATAGGCATCATCAAACGATTGACTACTGCAACCTTTGGCATTGTAACTCGCTCCTTTTGCCCGTAGTACTCCTATTTGTTCAAACACCCACTCTGATTTTTCTTTCCAGTAATCCGATAGTATTGAACAATATGAAATATATATTTGTTCACCTTCAACACTATATTATTCAATTTCGGCTTTTTCAAATAACTAATTTTTTCCTCTGAATTTTTAAACCCTATTTGGTTGGTCAAATTTTCTTGCACTTCCTTATGTTTTATCGTGATTATACCATGATTCTTTGAATTAACCGCTTTGGCTCCTAAATTCTTCATCTTATTATTTGTATTCGTTCGGTTCTGAACATTGTTGTTGCTGTTACTTTTAGTTATTCGTGCAGGTCCTAAATTAAATTGACATTTACTTTTTGAATTTACGGCAGTC